CCAGCAGTGAGGTCCCTGGATGGGCCCTTGGGCTGCACTGCCTCTTTCAAGGCTTGTAATCAGCCAAGGAGCAGATGGAATCATTTCAGATGAAGCAACAGAGGCTGTGAAATGACAGCGGCTTTGCTAAAGCCTCGTGTCTGCATTTGGAGAAGCTGAGATTCAAGTCCAAATTTCTCTAGTCTTCTACATAAGAATGGTCCCAACGTCTCATGAAGCCACAGATGAAAAGTCGTGTGACTTCCCCAGTGCCACACAAGTCTTTTGCGAAATCTCCCTCATTGAGCCTGGGGATTTGCCAGAAGTGAGAACGACGGCCATTTTCACAGACTCAGTTTTGATCATGGGTGTGCATGAAACCCAAGAATGGAGGGTTATCGCTGACACTTCCCTCATGCGTGTCTTATCAATCCAGAGACCATGAATTTACCAACTGCCTCAAAGTCAGGCTGAAGCCAACCACACTGCTTGGTCCTTTTCCAATGACAGGATTGTCCCTTTAAGAAACCAGTGCAAGCCAGGCGGTGGTGGCGCATGCCTTTAATCTCAGCACTCGGGAGGCAGAGGCAGGTGGATCTCTGGGAGTTCAAGGCCAGCCTGGTCTACAAGAGCTAGTTCCAGGACAGGCACCAAAGCTACAGAGAAACCCTGTCTCGAAAAACCAAAAAAAAAAAAAAAAAAAAAAAAAAGAAAGAAAAAAAAAAGAAAGAAACCAGTGCAAATAGGTCTTAAAAATGAATCTGCAAAACCTCCTGGTGAGTTCTAAGGCTCAGCAGGGAACTTCTGCACAAAGAGTTGTGTGGCCCTGGGCAAGTCACACCAATTTTCAGCTGTCAGCCTCCTCATTTGTGCAATTAAGGCAATAACATCTCCACGCTGGGTCCCAGGGAGGATTAAATAAAAGTGCCGATGTAGAAGTGCTTGGTGGATGAACTGACCGATAATCACTTCCTGGCGTATTATTTAATAAGTGGTAACTTAACAGTAATGTATCTTTCAAAAAATGCCCCTGTGTTTGATGGTGCAAAACCCTGTTTTCAATTCCCTCTCCCTAAACTCTGAGTAGTTGTTGCGAATCTATGGAAACCACTCAGCCTTTGGATGTGCAGAGGATTTCCTTGAAGTTACTTAGCAGATGGTAGGGCTGGGGTTGATACCAGGAGGGCTGGACCGAGGGGCCTATTTTTAAACACTGTGCTCTCTCACCTGCCAGACAAAGAGGAGGACTGGACATGCCGTGTGGCAAAGGCTGGATGTGATGACTTCCTTTTGTCTCTCTCAAGCTCTCCTCAGCTTCCTCTTGCAGGAGTTGGAGATGTTTGTGTAAGCTCCCTACTCTCTCACGGACGTTGGCTTGGAAAGCATCATTGATTTCTTTTACTGAATAGTGGCAATTTTGCCTGTTCCTCATAATCCTCAAAAACAAACCTTGTGAGGTCCCCAAAGCAACTGGCAATGTGCTACATTTAAAGCTCTTTTGTACCTGACTTCCATACTGGCCAGAAGAGGGCCTAGCCCTCCCAACCAAGGGGCTGTCCAGAGGCTGCTGGGCCAGTCTTCATCTGGCTTTATGTCACAATTTAGTTTCTGCTCTATTTGCTCTCTTTTTTGTGATATCTGAGATGGGATTTCTCATCCATTCTGATCTCTAAATTAGAAAGATGGCCTCAAAGCCGATGGGATAAATGGAGTGAGCTCTGTGACCAAAGTCTGTGCAGGGGAGGACTTTTACACTTGAAGACCGTCAGTTCATGCAGCTGGACTCACACTAAAGTCTCTTTCACAAAACCATTTGCAACTCACTAAGAGAATACTAGGGAGTGGGAGGGGAGAAAGCAGGCTGGTGATGGAAAATTGTCTGTATTCTATCAATCATGCTTTAAATAAACACTGATTGGCCATTAGCCAGGCAGGAAGTATAGGCAGGAAAACCAGACAGGAAGTAGAGGTGGGGAATTGAGAACAGGAGTATTCTGGGAAGAAGGAAGCCCATCCATCCCCAGATCCTGCACAGATCACAGAAGAAGTAAGATGTGGCCTGCCCCACTGAGAAAGGTACTGAGCCCTGTAGCTAACATTGATAAGAATAATGGGTTAATATAAGCTACAAGAGCTAATAAGAAGCCTGAGCTAATGGGCCAATCAGTTTTATAATTTATGGAGATCTCTGTGTAATTTTCTCTGGTACTAAACTGCTAGGGGACTGAGTGGGAGAGAAACCCCAATGAGCCCGGCCCTCATGTTACAGCAGGCCGTCTCCTTGATGCTATGTCCTATTTGGAGGGAAACAGATTCTCCATTGTCAGCTATGGACCAAATGCTTTCCCAAAAGCAGAAAAGCAAATGTGTTCTGTGCTGCTGTGGCGAGGGATGGGTCTAAAGGACTGAAGACGGGGCGGATGAGGCAGCAATAGGGATTTGTGGGTGGGCTTTGGACTCTGGCTGGGGCTCAAGGTGGGCTGCCATTGCGGCAGTGAGGTCTCCAGCCTTCTCCAGACCCTCCTGGCAAATATTTGCTGTGGAAGGAGCTAGCTGTGGAGAATTCAAGAGTAACCATCACAACTCTGCTCTTAAGGAATTCACAGTTACTGAGGATGACAAGCCACAGGTGGATAGTTTCCGTGTGCTGTCTTTGGAGATTCTGAGCACTTTCCTCTGCCAGATGAAAGTATCTGGACCAGGGGCCTGCAACATGGTTCAGTCACCTCCCAAACTCGGGGCCTAATACTTCATGAGAATGTGAAGAAGCATGATGGGGGTGTCTACCTTGATAAGAGATCTCAGAAGGATGCATGGAGGATGTGTCAGGAAGGAAGGGGATACTGTGTAGAGTAAACAGCATGATCTAACACAGCTGCAGAAATCTTTCTGTCTCTGGGATACATTACTAGCTAGTTGTGGATGGCTTCTTAGAATTCCATGATTCTCAGACAAAAGCTTCCCTTTCCTTTGTTCTATGGTTTGTTCTTGGGATGGACTGGGGACTTGTACCCCAGTTGGGGTGCAGAGGTCTTTGTGGGTATAATAGGATGGTTTTGTCTCTGCTCCTGGAGGCTGCAATTGGGTATATTTTCCCTTGTGGGTTTAGATCTACTCACCAGACCAACCTTTCATTGTCAGTTCCCTGGTGTTGACCCTCAGAATGGTGATGTGCAACTTCCATTCGCGATGTGACTTAATAATCTCTTTCGAAGGCAGCCGATTCACATGGGAGCCCTGAACTAAACCTGTGTTACATGGTTATCTAGAACATGTTAGGGCTCTGCTAGGAACAGGCATTCCTCACCCGGAACTGGGAAACCTCAATCAGAACCCCATTATATGCAGGACTACATTGTAACACTTGACCCTCACTCCAGCTCTGTAAACTTGTATTAAAGTCTCTGCTGTGCTGATGAGGTAGTACCTCAGCTTGGAAGCCTTTAGAACCTGCTCAGCAACACCCAGTCAAACCAAAATCCTTGCTGCCACTACTCCAAGTAGAGCACAGCAGGCTTTAGCATTCAGGCTTCAAGTTCATCTGCGGACACTCGATCTAAAGGCGCTTTGCCTCCCTTCTCCTGAAGGCGGCACAGCCTTATTCATCACCTCCCTCTCCTTCACTCCTGACTCCTTCACTGTTGCATGATGTGGCCTGTAGAAACACCAAGCAAATGGCTCATCAGTAAAGGAAGCCACCTGGATGGTCCCTAATGCCAGCTTTCTCTATGTATCATCTCTTTGATGGATGCCAGGGCCCCACTGGGGACCAATGTGCCTGGTGGCTGCACACCAACATAAAGCCCCACAAATACAGATGGCATCAGACGTTTCACACGTTTCCATTTCTAGTTGGCAAAAGGACACCATCTAATGATGTTCTGCAGGACCAGGACTTGGGACTTGTCACCTCATGGCACCCATGGTTTTCATCCTGCACTGACTCCACTCACCCAGCAGCTTTTGAGTACAGTGGAGAGCGGTGAGACGCCTCTCAGAGGTACCCTTGCATTATGGAACTCTGACTACCGCCAGGGACCATGCATTATCAGTCTCAGGAAGCTTGCTTTGTCCTGGATCCCTGGCTCTGGCTTTCGAGCTGCTATTATGTGTCAATCAATTCCCCCTTGAACCCGCTCGGTGTTTATTCTCGGTGATTGCTCTGTTCTTCTGTGGCGCCGTTTTGATTGTGACTCTGCTTCTCTTCAATGCTTTATCACCTCCCAATTATTTTCCCACTGAAAAGCCGTGACGACAGAGCGATCACCCAGACTTGAGTCTCACAGTTCTGAATGTTTGAGATTCCCTCCACTCTCCCCTGTAACCTTGCGTAAGCCTTGGAGGACCGTGCTTCCTTTTGTTTGGAAATAAATCACGCATGTTCCTAATAAACATCGAATGCGGTAAAATGGCGAAGACCGGGTAAGACGCGGCTTTCTAAAGGTCTCCAGTAAGTCACATAAAAGGGAAAAGGTGAGAGCACAGGCCTCAGCCCACCCACACCATCGGTCCCACTTTCCGTCCCTGTCAGACCCTCCTCCCACCATTGCACAGTGGCACACAAGCTCCAAATGCTCCCCATTCACTTCCACCAGCAAATGCCAGGCATCTTCAAGGTCAAGTGACTTAGTCTCCTTGCAATACTTGGATGAGATGTGCGCATGCTTTTCTTTCTCCCTTTTCTGTGCACCACTGATGGTTTTTAATTCTGTGCCTCATTCTGTTCTCCCCACAATACATTGTGAACTGAGAAGCAGGTAGGTGACCAAGGTGCATACATAGATGTACTCCATATAGTCTTCTGTGGCTCCGAGCAGCTGGAAACAGCCTCTGGTTCACCTGCTGTTTCCTTAAGGCGGGGTGAGATCTTTAATGCGGCAAATGTAAAATTTCCATTATCCTCAGACTGTTGGCTAATCTATTTGTTGAAACAAATGATTTATTGGAACGAATTCATCTTTTCAAAACAAGTGGCCTAGCAGGACTGACTGTAACTGATTTAATCTTCTTGTTTATTTCAGACTGGACCAAACGGATTGAGTACCAGCCTGGCTCGGGGAGTGTGCCCTTGTTCCCCAGCATCCACCTGGAGACGTGCGATGGCGCCGTGTCTTCTCTCCAGGTCACCGCCCAACTGCAGACTAATTACATCGGCAAGGGCTGCGACCGGGAGACCTACTCCGAGAAATCCCTTCAGAAATTATGCGGTAGGCTTTCCTTTGGAGAATTTGTTCAATTAATAGCTTTCCAGTGATACATGCAAATGAAGTTTATCTAATTAGACCGAGGAGGGGAAGAAAAACCCAGCCTTCCCAACCTGCATCAGCCCTCCTGGAGGGATATTTGCTTAGGGCAGAAGGGTCAGAAAATTCAGCTTTTGGCCTCAAGCACAACTGATTCAGAGTCAGCTTGCCAGTCGTGTGGCTTTAGGCAAATAGCATGACAGAGCTTCCGGAAATTCTGCACTGTTAGGATGGGGATTAAACAGCAAAATTCAGTTAAAAGTTTCTGACAGAGAACCAAGTGACACTCAAGGTCCTTCTGCCACGCCAGATTCTCGAGAGCTTCTTGCTTTCAAGACCATTATAAAAAGAGGAGCCAGACACCTGCAAAAACACTTGGCTCATCTCCACCAAGAAGCTACATAATTTCCAAGGCCTGATGCAAATGGAATGATTAAGGGATTTAATATAGCAACAGCAAAACACTCAGCCAAGTGTCTGCGGCTAAGCGGCTGCTCAGGGTGCAGGCCTGTGAGGCTGTGCCTGGCCGTCCACAGCAGAGCAGCTTCAGGTAGGGTGGGGGTGGGTGCAGAAAGATAATCACGCATGTGTGGAGTGATTAATTAAAACCCAGAGACAGAAATTGGAGTTCAACCTGAAGGTCAGAAAAGCAAAACAACCAGCCACTGGCTTTTACCTCTACCTCAGTCAGAAATGGCCACCACTACCTGATCTGTAAAGCAGACCAGTGGGATTGTTTCACTCTCTGATCTTCAGATGAGCTTTATTTACTAAAACACCAATAAAATATCACTACACACATGGAGGAGAAAGGGAGACAGGGAAGCAATTATTAATGGAGAGGGCGAGTGGGCTTCTAGAAAGGAGGAAGGCCAGGAAGTATTGATAGGAAATTGGACTGCTAAGAGGATGCCATGGGGGGTGGCTTAGACCAAGCCTGCCTTTACTGCACGCCCATGGTGTGCATCCCGTGATTCTCAGCCTATGATGCTTCACTTGGCTTTCACATGCGTACTGTAAGGAGAATATATTCACTCGGCTCTCAAGACGGAAACTTGGGGACTCAAAGTATGTAAACTGTCAAAGTTGACATAGATAGAAAGTATGAGAGATATGGCTTGAGAGCAGATCCATCTGAACGGCAGGGTCATTAGTCAAGCATTTACTGTGGCCAGCCTGGTCCCTAGAGCTGAACAGCCACTCTCCGGCGAGTCTGTGAAGGAGAAACGAAATATCCGTGAGGTGGAGCCGGTCTACCGGCTCCTTTAACTGGTTGCTGCTGTGTCAATGGAGCTCTTCATCTCACTTGGACCCACAGCATGTCTGCTTCGTTCTCTGCAGGGATATCCAAGGACTCGCCACCCTCCAGTCTCACTGTGGGGAGCTGAGGCAAAGTCTCCTTCCCACCGTGGGCTGCATTTGGCAGTAACCACACCTTTCCAAAAGGAAAGTGAGGCCCCTCTGCATACAGTTGAGTGTGTTGCCTCCACCACTATCTTTAGGAAATCTTTTTCACTCTTTTTTCTTGCCCAAAGAATCAAGTGAATATTTTAGAACCAAGATAAGCCTGGCTAGTCAGCATATTCTGTTCATCATACCACCAGGCTTTTGGGGAAGGTCTGTGGGCAGGCATGCCCCTCTGAAACATTCGGTAGGTTGGGGGAAATAGTGCTTTAAACAACTATTTCAAAAGTGGGTACGTAGGCATTTGCGATGTTCACACAAGGCTTCCATCCTTCCCTTTTCTCCACTTAGTTCACAGAAGCCATGCAACCTGACATCTTACTTGGAAGGAATATCCTTTGCATTCTCTGTGCACCTGGGGTGTCAGTGAACTTGACCCCACATGGCCACCATAGGTTACAGTCATTTCCCAAACTGCTCTGGGTTAGAAGGAAATGATGAATCGGCTTGTTAAAGATCGAGGGCCCAAGGGCACACGCTTGTGACTTGATTTTGAATGTTCCTGGGGAGAGGTGGGAGATAGAGAGGGTGCGGAGAGTGTTTTGAGGGGAAAAGGAGCAGAGCTAAACTCCATGTGCTGCGCTATTGTCTTACTCCATCTGGACCGTTAGCCTCCTTAGGCTAACACAGCTGGGGAGACAGTTTCTCCACGTGTGCTTCCTCTGACCTGAGAGCTGGCCTTTGGATGAGACAAGGCTGTTTCTCTCACGCCACTTCCCCAGTAGCACTGCCTACCACTCTTATGGGATTCCCTGCCCAGTAACCATGGTAGCCAGTTGAGTCATGCCTCAGGTCAGAAGACTTAATTCTGATTGGCCTAGAGTAAAGAACAGCAAAACAAGGCAGAAGCAGAGGGTAGAACATCAGAAGTCAGGCCCTCTGGGATCTAAGGAAAAGGTAGGAGTTGGGCCATGCCCCACACAGAGGCTGGATGGAACTGTCTGACTCTTGTGGGTAGCGTGGTTGCTGCTGACAGACATCTGTGTTTTCAGTAGATGGGAGAAAGGCTGCTTGCTGGGTTCCCAGGTAGAGAACTCCTGACACTTTAAACCCCAGCCTTCATGCACTTTTCATCCTAGAAATCTTTATTGGCTTTGGAGAGACAATTGGGATGTTATTACCATAGTCTACGCAACAGAACCGGAGGAGTGGCAGCAGAGATGAATTTAGGATAACTAAGAAGCAAAATCAGCAAGATTCTGATGAGTGGTTAGCTGGTGGAGGGAAGAGAGAAGGGATCTAAGGCACTAGCCTCAGTATCTAAGTGGGTGACAGGGGCCACACCCTAAGCCAGAAACCCCGGAGCAAGGGGACATTTATGGGACAGTGCTGGCATTCACCCGTGGAACCTCACATTCCAGTCTCCTCTCAGTTCTCCTGACGCTCTGCCTCCTGCTTTGTCCCTTTCCCTTGTTTCTTCTCATTCCCAAGTCTTTGCTCTTCTCTCTCAAGCCTGTCCCTTCAGTCACTAGTCACCAGTTCCCTCACCCAGTACTAAGTTGCTTCTGTAGGAGCTGGGGCTCTGCAGCGTCCTCTGTGTTAGTGTGGCTGGACGGTGACCCAGCCAGGCTGGCTGCCCAAGAGGTGCAGTGAGTGAATCCCTATTCAGGGAAAGAGGGTGGTAGCTGATGCTTGCTGACATCCAAAGGCACCTGATGCGGCAGCACTTGAGATGGACCTGTGGAAACACTGCATGGCAGGCATTTGCTTCTTGAGATTTAGCCATGGGTGATGCTTCCATTCTGCCTTGGAACAGCAGAGTGCTGCTCCCGGAACCTCTGTCTCCTCCAGATTGTGGGCCAGATACAGCCTAAGCTGATTCCCATCTTCCAGGCTCCACATGAAGCCCGGGTTCTTAGCAGAGGTGGTCAACTTTCCCAACTTCAGGAATTCAAATGAAGGTCCTGTCTCGGGACCAGTCTTTCCAGATGTGAAATGTCACAGCACAGAATTGAGGATGACATGCAAGAAGCAGCCCTCAGGGAAAGCTCTCAGCCAAATCAAATCTGGCATTAACAATGGCCCAAGCAAAGGTTCCCTGCTGTGACCCTATGTCACTACATATTATATGAAATAGAAAGTACTTGGTGATGCATATGCCCTTTGTAACTCGGAGGCCAGGCTGTTCCTCGGAGGATCAAGGGCTCCTGGCAGCTGGCCGCCACTTCCTGAACACAATGCCAAAGGCAGCTGTTTTGTTTGTAAGTCGAGAGTTCCCAGGACAGGTCCTATTGAAGGAAAGGCCACAGAGTATGAGCATGCTGTTAAAATCCAGAGCTCCCAAAGCCGGTGCAGGGTGGGATAGCCCAACCCTATGTTCTCCAGATTCATATACTGGTGAGCCAGGGGATTCATTTAGACTTGGAATACTTCAATAAATGTTTTTGTTTTGTCTAAATGCTGTGTGACCCTTAGAGTAATATAGAACCATCTAGAACATAAATACCTAATAATTCTGTTTCTTAGGAAGGCAGACATGTTGAAAGGAACTGCAGAACAGCATTGAGGAAGGAAGAGAGTCCATGGTTTTCTGTGATAGGTTGCAGCTCAGCAGAGCTTGTCCAAAGAATCACCATCAGAGGCTCTGACGCCCTCAGCATCCCACACATCTAGGAAGCGATCATGTGTGGTGTTTCCTGGGTTAGAGTAGCAGCCCCTTTGTCTTTCCAAAGCTTTATCTCATAGCGCTTTGCTTCATTAGGTTGAGGGTCAGATTAATTTTCTAATCTATAGGAAATCAGTACAGGGCTGTACACACTGATTTATCATGATGGCGTGGGCAGTGGTCTCTCTCTGAATATGATTATTCCTTGGAGACCACGCAAGCAACTGCCATACCACGGTCTTTCATTGAGAGAAGGCTTTTCCCTACCATGGCCTTTTCCAAGATAGCCAGAAACTAAACAGGTGTCCATGACTCGACCCCAAGAGTTTGGCTACCTACCTGTTAACCGAAGCCCAACTTGTTCCACCTGGAAATCCAAGTTTCTATTCTCAAGGCCTTCAGACCTCAGGCGTGTAGATGGCAAAATGGAAAACACAGTTACCTGTGAATTATCAGTACAGATGCTCAGCCAGGTTATGCTGCAGCAGCAAATGACCTCACAATCTCGTTGGCTTAAAATAACAGAGGTTTATCATTCCTACCCCGGCGTTCTTCTTGGATGGGGTAAGATCCCAGCTAATAGAGTAGCCTCTATCTAGAACACTGTTCATCCCTGGAAAGATGAACAAGATTCAAGTGAATTGTGGACTTCTTTTCTGCTATGATATATCACTTGGGTTCTCATTTCTCCGAACATGTGGTTGAGTTGATATTATGGGTCAGAGAACTATGTCATGCACGCACACATTCTTCTATCTCCCAGGTGCAATGGTACACCAGGCACTTGAAGAGGGCCTTCCTAGCTAGGTTCTACCAAGAACCTCTACCCTGAACTGTTCTACGCACTTAACTGTTCCTCCAAGAAAGTAAAAGGTTTACTGAGTCACTAATGGTGAAGTCATTTCCATGTGGTTAAAGGTTGTGCCCTCATGGCATTGCCTGACATAACTTAGATGTTGAATACACATTTATTGAGATGATAGGGAGTGATGCCAGCATCTGCTTGTTGCTCAGCATCTGTCTTTCTGAGAATACTATAGGGTGAGCCTTGATCTTAGATGGAACAGTTCCTCATTCAAGATCCTCCCACTTCACCCCTTCTATGCCCTGTAGTGGACTCTGATGGCCCCGTGCCCATCACCCTTGGCACAGCCCCACTTTGAAATGCTAGAGGACACTGCCTGTCCATATTCATTCAGGCCATGCACAGCAGAATACAGACCTAAGCAACCACACCTCTACATCCCAATTTACCTCCGTCATTGGCCGGTACCCATAAATCTCCCCCATCCTGTCCTGACCCTATTTGCTGCTCAGAGCAGTGATTCTACGCTGGTAGAGCCCAGGGAAGCAGAGCTCATCACTGGTTTGGAGCCCCTAGCGCTGAGACTACAGCTGTAATTCACCAGAAGAACACGAATCCTTTACATTTAGTGGCTCCAGGAATTGTCACTGAGGATTCCAAAGGAGCAACGTAAGCATATTGGGATGTGCAGTTGCTGCCACACCATGACTGCAAGTGGCATGCCTTGTTTTCCCACAGCTTTCCTGTAGAATTCTTTGTGAGGAAGAGGTGAAAGAACTTTGGGTGGAAACGAATCTTCTTTAGTTTGTTTAAGCATACCAAGACCTACATTCAATCTGTTAAGTCCGTGGACGTCTGCACCATCTGGCTAAATGCGTCATGTTCTCCGACAGGCAACATCTGTGGACAGAAAAGGGAGACTGCCATTCCCCTACACAGGAAGACACTGGAGCCCTGCTTAGGTGGCCTCAGTGTGCTCCCCTGGGAACAGACACTTATACGGAGAAGGGGCACCTCTTGGGACTGGGGTGATCATCTCAGCTGGCTAGTCATTAGACACTAGGCTGTGTCAGGCGCACATCATCCGCATGTCACAGCTGCACCTGTCTCTAGCTAGTCATGTGGTAGGGTGACCCTGGTCTAGTCGCTTCCTCCATGGGCTCCAGTTTCCACGTTTGCTGACTCCACAAAAAGTGTGTATAGAAGTTTGTTCCAGTTGAGTGAGGAGATTTAGAAGGAACCTGGGCTCTGGGATCCCTCAGTCTGGGGCCTCTTACCTAACAGCATCCCTAGAAAATGCCTGTGTGAATCATGACATCAAGTTTGCCCGTACCTCCCACAGAGAATTGTCAATGGAGAGGCTGCATCCCCCACCTTCTCAAGGATGGCCTGCTAAAGGCCCTTTCAGGATGAACTTAATGCAGTCTAAGTAGAATATCTATACTCAAAGGAATCACATTTTCCCATGTAGTATAGTCTTCCACTCCAAGCCAATGAATATGTACCTGATGGTCCATTCCAAACCCAAAGGGAAGTCTGGCTAAAATGTACAATATAATGAAGTATATTGGTTTCCAATGTGGCACCTTCCTGAGGAGTCTCCAGGATAGGAGACTTTCCATGACAGCTGGCCTTGAAACCCAAACCCTGGATAAGATGACTTTCTGCTCTGCAGAGGTCAAAAGGCCAATGACCCAACAGACCTCAGATAGTGCACACTTCCCACCACCCATCAACATCTTCAGCGGGAGGCAGCTGCTCTCACCTTCATACCACCAACACAACGTTTACAATGACTGCTGAGTGCCTTGCCCGGAGATGACCCCCCCCCCCCCCCCGCACAGCCCTGGCAAAGCTTGCATTCCCCAACTAATCAAACTTGAACATAGCAGGAGGCTCCTAACCCCTCCCCCATCTTACCTGAGCAACTGAGCCCTCTTTCTATAAAACAGAGGCTTCTGCTCCATAGAGTGAGTTGGGGCCCAAGGGTCCTCCCAGGAGAACAGTCAGCTCTTCCCTCTCCCTAACCTTCCACAAAGCTGTCCTGTGGTGGGTCCTGTATAATCTTGCTGGTTTAGAATAAACCCTCCTGCTCTAGCCTGGCAAAAAACCCACAGTAATGGTGTTAATAAAATTGTAGCTCACACTGAGAGAGCACTCATCGTGTGTTAAGCATTTAGCTGCAAGCTTGAATGCATAATCCTATTCGGTCCCCACCTACACCGCGGAAGGTAACACAGTCAGGGAGATTAAGGGACATGTTTCCAGTCACAAAGCTGCCAAGTCAAGCTGCCAGGTGTCAAATCCAAGTGTTCAATTGAGTGCTGCAGCCCTCAGAGCCCCTAGTCTCAAGCACCGTACCATTTGGCTTCAATCAATGGTTGTAGAAAAATGTAGAGTGTACAAAGTGAGTTACCACCTTCTCTTGAGATGAGAACCCGGAATTTTCCCCAATCATAACTCTGATCATACTATGTTGTCTCTTAGAGTCTTCATGGTAATAAGTATCTGATTCACCTTCATGTGGACAGACCTTAGCACGGATCAAGGCATGGGGTTAATGCTCAACAAATGACTGACAGGTTAATTGATTGATAGGTGCCTTAATCCATTCACCCAAATTAAGCCCTGGCTGTCTGCAGGAAATCAAGCTAATACAAGCCCCGTGGTTCTCTGACACTTCAGGCTATTCTCGCGCTTTTCCTTGTACAATAGTTGATTATACCTGCCTGGATATATATATATATATATATATATATATATATATATATATATCACTTTTCTCTGCAAGTTACCAACATGTACCTAAGCAGACCAGAAGCAAGTCAGAGGCTGGAATGATACTGGGCTCTTTTCTGAGCCACCTAGGTCAGGAACAAGCCCAGACCTCATTCAGTACACTAGCTGCATTCTGACAAGGAAGCAGAAGTCAGAAGGCAAGGACACTCCCACCTGCAGGAAGGACCCATGGTGCTTTCATCTCTTCCCTTTGCAGGAGCATCCTCGGGCATCATCGACCTTTTGCCATCCCCTAGCGCGGCTACCAACTGGACTGCGGGACTGCTGGTGGACAGCAGTGAGATGATCTTCAAGTTTGATGGCAGGCAGGGTGCCAAGATCCCCGATGGGATTGTGCCCAAGAACCTGACAGACCAGTTCACCATCACTATGTGGATGAAACATGGCCCCAGCCCCGGCGTGAGAGCCGAGAAGGAAACCATCCTCTGTAACTCGGATAAAACTGGTGAGTCTCTAACCTGCTGTATCCCCAATGGCTGGACAGACGGAACTGTGGGGGGGGGGTGCTAAGACAGAAGCACAATAGCGAGCTTGGGAATGCATTCTATGCTCTGGTTTTCCAACTGCTGATTTTCTAGGATTTGGGTAAAGCAGGGTTAGGGAAGAGTGCAAAGGAAAGGTGTAAACAGCGAATGCGGCAGTTTGGATCAATAATCTTTAAACTGAGTTCCTCAAAACTTCCCTGTCTATGGAAGCACCTTAGGGCTCCTGGGGCGGGGTGGTGGTGAGGAGGACTTCATCCCTCCTGCAACAAAGAAACTACACATTTACTATATCATACAAGTGTTCTCAAAAGCCCTTGTTTGAATAAAAGGATCCTGTCAACTTAAAGCAGTAGTTTGAAAGTGAACAATGCTAGCTAGCGGGTGCTGAACGTCTCTTTCTTGCTAGTTCAGCACAAGGTAGATCTGGGGATTGGCCACACCCCATCACTTACAGATGCCTCATCTTGTAATAGTATCATCTCCCTCATGAGCTGTTTATACCGATTAAGTAATTTAAATATACACCAAGCTCTCAGAACATTGCTAGTCACTTAGAATGTATGGTTGGTATCAACTACTTCTTTTCTGAGCCTTTATGAGGGAAATTTGATGAATGCATTATTGTCTCCCATCTTAAGGATAAGGAAACATTCAATGAGACGTTATCCATCTTGTCCCAGGTAATTAGTTACACAGCCAATAAACACGGGAACCAGAATGTTAGTTTAGCTTCTGCTAAGTTCACATCCTACGGACGTGTCACTCTGCCTCCGTGTGCACATGAGCACACCACACAAACGCACACACACATGCACACACATACACATGCACACGCATGTCTTGAGATCTTTTGCCAGGTGTTAAACTCTGCCTTTAATTATGATTCCTGTCTCTGATTTCAAATGTAACTTTTGTCGGGTAAATCAGCGTTTCTATCTGTAAGGCAGCACAGAGAGTGACTGGTAGCTCAGTACATGCTGTCAGAGAGCCCAGGTCCACAGCTCACTTAGATGTCTGTTGAAATGTGACCTTTGAGGAGTTATTAAGCTCCATAAGCCTCGGTTTCCCCATATGCCAAGTGGCGGAAATAAGTATGAATTAAAATATGAAATCATTTCCTAAGATGCAGAAGTAGTGGACTATTAGTTTAGGTGATACCCTGGCACCATCATTACTATTTCTAAGGTTATTCCATTTCATGTCACTATAAGACCTCTACATTTTCCATCTATCCATAGATCCTTGTGGTCTATGCTGATGTGTTTTTTTTTTCTAGATAGATACTAAGCCAGGATTGCCTGACTTTTGCCTACACATAAGATTAGTCCGTGTAGGAGGAATCAGCAAGAGCAATAGATTTTCTCTGGAATCTTCATGCAGGAAAGATGTCATAGACCTGCACTAATCTTGGGGCTGGGCTTAGTGGTCTCATCCTAGCAACACCTGGTGGTTGCTCTGGATATAATGGCTCTAGGTCCAAAGTTCCCCTGAGGCCTCAGGATGGTACAACTGATCAAGACTTAGCAGCTGCAGATATGAGTATTTTTTGAATATGTGTCAAACGCTCTTGGGAAATAGAGAAACCAAACAGTGTTTCTGCCTGCACAAGGGCAAGTGAAACAGGAGAGTTAGCATAATGAGCCAGCACAGCACCACTGTCTAAAACAGTGTATGCGTGTCTAGGAGCACTTACTACACACCCGAGAGCCAGACTCTTACAACAGAGGCACCACAGGCTCTTGGTAGAATAAGCCAGCAAAGCTTTATGACGTGTGGGTGCCAGGGCCCCATGCTAGGTCCACAATTCGGGAACTCTACTGGGCAGCCGTGGCTGCAGTCTGCAATAATACCTCCCTATTACAGAGGCTCACCAGCAGGATGCTCGGCACCTCAGCCTGCAAGGTCCTGTGCCTCGACTCTGCCCTTGCAGAAGCCACACCTTACAGTTAGTTAAAGGTTGGCACAGAGGGCTAAGGAGACAGAATAGTGGGAAAAGGCACTTGTCTCCAAGTCTGATGATTTGAGCTTCATGCCTGCAACGCACACCTTGGAAGGAGAGAAACAATTCCTTCAGATTGTCTCCTGACCTCCACAAATACAAGTTTGTGCTCTTGTACCCATACATGTATGCCACCTTCACACACACACACACACACACACACACACACACACACACCATGCATCATAAATAGCCATCTAAAAAAGATTGTTGCAGAGAAGGCATAAATGTTTCAGTCTGTCTTAGCTCCCTGGGAGACAGTAATATAAATACAAAATATTACAATTTAATCAAGGCCTGATTAGGACTTTTATTTTATATTAGGAAAGTTTTACAGTGGCAAGGTGATACACATTGCAGTAGAAATGGAGAAAGCACAGGAAAGTATCAAAATATACAAACCACCTCAAATCCAAACACTTGAAGAGACATTATCTGATAACAGACTATTTCATTAAAATGTTACTTTTATCTCTATGAATAAGAATGTTCTTCCTATTTCAATTTATTTTCATAATGCACACGAGACTATTGTTTCATATATAACTATACCCAGGTCGTATCTCCATGTAATAAAGTATTTTTTTCTTGGAGGGGTGTGTGACAGAAAGCTCACGTTGCTCCCCACAGCAGTCTTGAACTTCTGAGCCTCCTGTCTCTAAATCCCAAGTGCTAGGATTGCAGGCATGCACCACCAAGCCTGACAGATAAAATCGTCTTTAAAAACTAAATTGTATGCCAGCTTAAAACTCTGCCATGTGGATTTATTATACTTTATTTAATGGCTTCTTTTGTCAGCTACTTAGAGTGTCTCTCTTCAAAGGCAAGTAGAACAATGCTGTGGTGAGCATTCTAGAGCCTAACGTTCACACATTTCTATTTCCTGGCTGGAAGTTGGATGACTAAGTCAAAGAATATAAATATTGAGAAAATTATGAAACTGGCCTTCGTGAAGGTCAGATTGCTTTGGTGAACAAAACAAAATTTGCTAATGCTGGTCCATTATAAAGTCATCTATAAATAGTTGGATGGCAGAATTGATTAGTCAGCAAAGGTTAACTGTGTGGAAGAAAGAGAGAGAAAAGGAAATTCACTATAATCATTACTGTCGATAAAGCCCTCAGTGGCCACTCTCCTCTCAGGGTTTCCCTCATTTGTTTGTTCAGTGGTGGGTAAGGAGGACAAAGCTCTGCTCGGTTCAGGTGTTCTGAGACAAGAATCCTAGCATTGTTGGTTCTGGTTATACTTAGCCCTTAAAGAGAAAGAACACCGCTGAGTATAAGAGAGATTTATTGTCAAAGACAGCAGGCTGTATGTTTCACCTCTGATCATTACCTTCCACTTCCCAGAACTTGGTCACAGGGCCCTCACCCAGCCATGGAGAGGGTATGAGAATCAACTAACCACACATCTGATTGCAAAGGGTTAGGTACACACACAGCAGTTCCTCTGCCACAAGGGATGCTTGAGCCTTTGCTGGCCTTTGTCTCCCATTCTCTGTGTGAGTGATGCTCTTGCCTGTGACCACTCACAGTTCCTCTCCAGCTCTTGCCCTGCTCCATACCACCTCCATGCCCCCACCTCTGCCCTGCAGCTGGGGTCCCTTCTTGCTGGGGGGATTCACCCCACTTACTTTGAGTTCAGCTGGGAACCGTGAATGCTAAGTGGCCATACACAGTGCTTGACATTTCCTACTGGGAATCCTGAAACACGGAGACCAACCTGACCTAGCAGTAGCAGAGCGTCAGCCCAGGAGGGAGGACTACAGAAACCCTCCCACCTATGAGAAAACAAGGGTGTGCCCACAGCCCCCGAGTGACTAGAAAACTTCTCAGAAGGATTTCAAGTGTGAGAAGAGGCGGGAACATCCTCACTCCCCTGTTGCCTGATGTTTGATCAGGAGATGCTCCTGAGCTTGTGTGTTGATCCAGGAGTCTGCAGCAGTGAGGCAGAGGGAAAGAGAAAGGGCCTAGGCTGAAGGATGCTCTAGCAGAGGAGGTCTGTTCTTCCGGTATTTCTGGTCCACCTCTTCACCCCAGTTGATTCCAAATAAAGCTAACAAAGGCAGAAAAATATTTCTACCTTTCTTTTCCTAACAGTTAGTAGGAACAAAGAAAATCTGTTATATAATCATAAAGGGACAAAAAAGCATTTGGTAGACTACTCATAACCAAGCCCAAGGGGTTTTGCCAACCCAGAGGTTAAGAGTGGTTCCCCCCAAACTGGGCACATGTAGCAACTGCCCATCCTCCTGCCATTTTTTGGTTAGGTTCTAGAGAATGCAGATGCTTGGGTAGAAATGGCATCTAACATGGCTGTCTGCACTGCTGTAGTCCCAAGGCACAGCAATGGCCTTTATAATAACCAACAGCCACTAAACATCTGTTTCATGCAGATGCTTTACACACATTTCCTCATTGTAGCAATTAAGATGCTATCCATTACAGAGATGGGAAGTCCGGATCAAATGATATCAGATAACTTTAAAATCAAACCAATGCAGAGAATGTAGATTTCTTGTACCTGAAAACTCCCAGATCTTTGTTGACTTCATAGCTTCTTGTAGGTAAACTGTGATCAAGGTACATGTTTTTCTATGCATTTTCTCAGAGCTGTGTCTTTACATGTACCAATTTCAGATTATCAAATAAGACTGCAACTGCCAGAGACCTCTAGTTTTATACTGCACTTCTCCCAAGGAAAGAAGGCATCCCTTAGGTTCACATTCTGCTGGTACCTATCCCAGAACTACCTAGGAAAGTACTAACCATTGGTCTAGACCAAGTCTTCCCAGGCAGTTCTCAGCAGAGGCTGTGTGGCCAGGAGAATGGCCCTCTCTGTTGATCTTGGGCAGGCATCTTGAACCAGTTCCTGTGTTGGGGGATTGACAGGAGCCTATTTAGACAGAGCCAATTAAGGCTCATCTCTAGAAACGAGGCCAGTGTTGACTTCATTGCAAGGTTTACACAGGATGCACAGGAAACTACTCCACTATCCCTACCCTGATTCAGATAAGGAAACTGTGAAACCAAAAAGCTAGATGACTCCTAATACAATCAAAGATACAGTTCCACAGAAGTCCTTTTTAAAAATATTTATTTTACATGCATTGGTGTTTTGTCCACATTCATGTCTTGAGAGTGTTGGATCCCCTGGAATTGTAGTTACAGACAGTTGTGAGCTGCCATGTGGGTGCTGGAAATTGAACCCTGGTCCTCTAGAAGAGCAGACAGTACTCTTAACCACTGAGCCATCTCTCTAGCCCTCCACTGAAGTCTAAATGTAAGGCTATGTTCATCCCTATATATGGCCCATCTACTCATTTACCCACTTAGAGTGTGCATGCATCCTAGTAAATTTCTCTGTGTTCTACGGCCAAGTAAAATGTGATTTCTCCGTGCCGGTACAGATCAGCTCATCTCCTGCCAATTCATGGTGTCTTGTGGCTCTAAGTGTCATGGCTAAAACCATGACATAAGATTTCCTGAGCAAGTAAGGAAGTCTTTCCATGAGAGGAAGAAAAGTTCCATTGATTGATCACTGTGCCTGGGGAGGGGGGATTATTCGTCACTTTGAAGAGCCACAGAGTTATGTCTAATGCTGGAAAATCAATTTGTCTCCTCCTAGCAGCTAAAAGCAAGGCAGGCCCTCTTAGCATAGATTAGGAAGACAAAAGAGATGTGTTCTGTGGTCACTGTGTCAAGACTGAGAAAATAAAACAAATCCCAGAACTCCAGGAGAAATCACCCACGCGGGAGGAGCCCAGGGATGGATGGGATTGGCAGAGAGCCCCTGTGAGTACATACCACAAGCTTGCCAACATGATCACCTTTTACTGGGATCTGATAGAGAAGAGGTTTCAGGCCAGTGTCTAAAGGCAAGATAGTTTCTCCAATGAAGCTTTTTATGGGCCTTCCCAGTGCTTATTCCATTTCAAAGTCTTCCCCAACATATGTTCTGGGAAATTAATCAGAACCAATTATAGATGAGAAAATGAGAGAGACCATTCCTTTGTCTTCTAAACTGCCTAGCCACATAACGCAAGGCTCTTTGGGTGGAAGCAGAACCTCTCATGCCCCAACCCCATTTCTGCCTTTCAGAGATGAACCGGCATCACTATGCCCTGTATGTGCACAACTGCCGCCTCGTCTTCCTCCTGCGGAAAGACTTCGACCAGGCGGATACCTTCCGCCCTGCAGAGTTTCACTGGAAGCTGGAACAGGTGAGGCTCTTAGGGCATGTCTTCTCCTCTTTCCTTTGCAGGGACCATCCGTTTGTTCTCAGGGCCGTGGCAATGGGTAGGTTCTCTCCAGGTCTGCTCAGTTTCTTGGCTTTGGAAAAGTCAGTTCAGGAAGGCACATAGCCTCTTAAGTCAGGGTGGAAACTGCCCCCTGAAAGCCTGTAGGAGGGAAAGGGCCACTGGTGCCAGCTGAGATGCCACAGGGTCAGAGAGCCACCTGTGCGTCTGTGCACCTGCATCCGCTCCACTTGCTTTTTGTTGAACTCATGGGAAAATGTCTGTCCTGACTCCAGGCCCAGCTGAAGATCTCTGTTGACACGTCTTTGGTCTTTGTGTCATTGAGTCTCACGTCTTGCCTTTGACGGTTTCCTTTCTCCTTTGGGCGACAGTATGGCTTGCTGTTGATGACAGGTAATTGAGAACAGGGGCCTGAGGACTTTGAAGAAAGCCATGACATGGAGCATTGTTAGCAGTGTCTTCTTTTTTCAGAAGTGGGAAAGCTGACTCGTTGGCGCTTTCTGGCTTGATCACAGGGCCTGGTACATCACACTTCTCTACAACAAATCACAGGTCTGGGTTGAGTCCAGAGATTTGAAGTGTGTGTTGCTGAGGGCTGTAAGGCACTGAGACTGCCAGAGTGTACTCATTTCAGGAGGACGGTGCTTCCCAGTGAGGAAGCAAGACTGATAGGGCCTTCCCCGAGAGGTGAACGTGGGCAAGATTTTATTTTTTAAAAACGGTGTTAAATAAGCAAAAGGGAGAAGTAGGGGTGAGATGTCAGTTAACGATGCTCATTTCATAGTCCCCAGTGTCTCAGGTCTCAACCCCTTGTTTTGTTTTTATTCTATTTTAACTTCATCCCACGCTGTGTGTGCTGTGACCTACAGAACTATTTTCTCCATTCTCGACCCACTGGTATATTGCGATCTCACCGTTTCTAGGACCGAGTGTTTCATAATCCCATGTTTTCTGTTTCCTTACTACTCTGGCTCTTCTCCATTTTCGCCTAACCCCCTCCCCTGGCTCCCAGGGGGACTGACCTCAGCGAGAACTCACTCCTGCGGAGATGTGAGTGATTGCAGCCCCTTCCATCCTCACAGACACTCCCGTGGATGCTCTGTGGGACCCAGTTTCCTCAGCCCCGGGAATTTCCTCTAATGGAACCTCTGCAGTGTGAGCAAAGCAAGGGCAGTATGGGGAGCCAGTGGCAACTGTCAGACCTGATCGCAGGAAATGCTACCCGGCTGGATCCTGGGATACCGAAAAGGCAGCATGTGTGTTCATCTGCAGTTCGTTTTTTGTGTTAGGGATTCTGGGGCTCAGAGGAATGGTAAAATCTTACATTGTTTATATGATTTCTCAGCAACCTCCCAGCTATGTCCTGACGTGCCAGATGGTTTTTGTGGGATGTTTTAAAATATATAATACAAATTGAAGTGAATTAAAATAAATTCCATATTGTGAGGGGTTCTTTAATAAGAACATTGCCATACTGGTGGAGATAATTATAGTTACCCCGAGGCATTTTCTGAGATGGGATTGAGAAACAAGGATACAGGCAAATGAAGTTGCAGGGTTGGAAATTAAAAATAGACAAAGAAGGAACCCTGGTTGTGTAGATAAATATATAGTGGATGTAACAGTTCTGAAAGTCAGGCAGTTAAGGAGGGGCTGAGTCACTGAGCACATTCCAAACTTCCTGGGTCCCACGGATCTTCCTTCCTTCCTCCTTTCCTTTCCTTTTCTTCCTTCCTTTCTTCCTTCCATCCATCCTTCCTTCCTTCCTTCTTCCTTTCCTTCCTTCCTTCCGTTTTTCCTCCAGGGAGGAAGGGGAGAAAGAGAGGGGCAGAGAGAAGAAAGACTCAGAGATCTCTTTAAAAACTTCTAGTGATGAATTAACATTTGATTCATTTCATAAACCCATTTGTTCTTCCTCTCCCAGTCCTTAAACAGTGTTCATCTTGTTACCTTGTTAGCTTATTTCTAGGGTCAAGTTGGATTAACTGTGAGTCTACAGCTGGCCTTTGCCATAAAGAATTTAAACTGGTCTAACATGTCATGTGCAATTGAACTCCTGTCTGCCATGAACATTCTCATAGCCTCTTATGATTTTAATGCCTTCTGGGGCTTTTGGATTTCTGTCCTACTTAGCTTATTCTGTAAGTTAGACTCTGTGCTTCATTCCCCAGGTCGGTACAGAACTAGAAGCCTCTGCTATCTAGAAGTGTCCATGACCTCATGGATCAAAAAGACAGTTTAGAGTATCATGCAGTCAGTGCTTGGTCAGAAAGCAGGCACCTGGTAGGTACAGAGGCAGGGCTGTCTGATGTGGGCCTGTGAATAAAAGCTAAAGAAGCATCCAGATGGAATGTTGGTATGGAAAGATCCATGTGCAAAGTCAGGCATCCAAGATGACAGACAGTAAATGGGACCCAAGTAATAAGAGTTCAGGAACGGTGGGGCAGGTAGGACTTAAGTAAGTAGATTTTTGTATCATATCACTCCCAGGTGGACAGGCTACAATCAAAGTATCCATTATTCAATGCAAGACTATGACATTATGTGTGGGCAAACTTGGAAAGTCTGATATGACATGCATCGCATTGCACTCAAGCAAATGTAACTCTGGCTAGAGCAATACATAGAGCCAGTGGCAGGAACTACTGTCCCCTGTCTCCACAATCATGCCAAGACCCAATTCCTAAGAGGCGCATTTGAACAGCTGGCTCCTTCCTGGCATTGAAACTAGGAAATGATGTATAGGATGTTTCCTATATAACTTTCCAAGGGTAGCCAAGAGCAAAGAAGTTACCCATGCCCCTAGGGACATCATGTCTTTCCACCTTTTTTTCCCTGTACTTACACCCCAAAAGACCTTTGCCAAGGCAAATGGATAGCCCGTAAGTCTAGTCAGGCAGCCCCAGGGAATGCCTCTGAGAATCCAGGCCATCTCACTGAAATGATGCTAACAGCAAAGGGAACGTCATTTTAATAAGATTTTTTTTTTACTCAGGATCTATTAATGCAAATCCCTCCAGCTAGGCATTCAGTCATGTGCAAACTCAGACAAGAGTGCCCAGCACCGCCAGGGAAGGTTTATCAATCCACAGGCCCTCCAGGCTTTAATATTATTTGGATATGGTTGATTCAGTGTTGTGAATTCTGATGGTCTTCCCCTTGAACTGTTGGTGTTAGAATGGTGTCCTCTCCTGTCCCCATTAGAGTGACCCTGAGTGACAGCCTCAGTGAAACAGAGAGAGCACAGGTGTCCCAGTTCATATGAGGTAAACAAGTTTCCATGAAGAGCACAGTCCACGAGAGGCAGAAATTGGTCTCATTTGGTTAGCCATCATCTTGCCTATGCACCAGGGACAATGATTTGCTCTGAGGATGCTCACTGATCTGCTGGGTTGTGGCCACTGAATGTTCCCTGGCAACATTCTCCTGTAGGAGTTCCAGACTCAAAAACCACTGGGTTACTGAGAAGCAGCAAGGCTTAGAGAGACCCAGCCAGGTGAAGCCAGATGCCTGGCTGGGTGAATTACAGATTTGTCTCCAGGTCATACAAAATCTGGCCTGACACTGTACTTTCAACTATCTGGAAGCTGAAAATCAGGTTTTCATGTAAGCCATCTCAATTTTTAATATGGTCTCATTTAAAAATGTGTATCATTAGGCCAAACCAAATATTCTGTAGTATGTCTTTTTTGTCTGGCCACCAGATTGAGTCTGTTCAATGAATAAATAAAAGGCACTTTTTATATTTAAAAAAAAAACACAACAGAAAAAAACACATTCTCTTTGGGACATCTGGATCTTCATAAACGAAGCTTATCATGTCCTTCTAAAAAGAAATCTCTGTATGTGTATAAATTTGGGTGCATGCATGCCATGACTCGAGATGTGAGTTGTCTCTCAAGCCTCCAGAGATTTTTCTACCTCTCCCTCCCATCGTGCCACAGAGTGCTTGAATTTCAGACTTTCTCTACTATGTCTGGCTTTACATGAGTTCTAGGGATCCAAACCCAGGTCCTCATGCTTGGGTGACAGGAGCTTTGCCCTGTGCGCCATTTCCTCAGCTTCTCCCTGTGCCTTTCTTGATGCTTCTCCGTCTCCCAGCTCCATAGCTCACCTCCCTGGAGAGGGAGTTGTGCATGGAAACCAACACTCCCAGGCCACATCGAGGGAGGAGGGCTATGAGCACATGGACTCCCTTCATCCAAGCCACCAGTATCAACAATGATCTTTATCTTTCTGCATAATGGAGACAGTCACAGGCCTCGATTTTCCCGCAACCAAGACTTACACACATTTGTCTGGATCCAAGGCCTTTGCCTATAAAGTCCATTGTTCTTGCATAGAATGTGAAAGCTCCTAGAAGAAGATTTAAAAAGACCACATCCTTTATTCCTGAAGACGGAGTGTCAGGATGATGCAAAATCAGTTTCCTTGCGTTTGCCCATTCAGTCACACTGGGAGTCAAATGGGTTAGTTCAATCATTATTATAGCCGGTGCCAGGGAGTTAATTAGAGAATGGTCAGTCCAGACCAGACCAGTCATCTTAATGAGCAAAATAATTGGGCATTGTCAGCACTCTAATTCTGCTATTAAAGACTCACTCCTGGACAGACTGGCATTGTTCTAATGTGGTATCACTGCCCTGCTCAGCATCCCCACCTGTAAGCTGTCTTCAGGGATGCCTGCCTTCCTCTGGGAGCTGGGGCCCCAAACAGATAGAGAAGGCTGAATGGAACTTCTGTTTTCTCATGTAGGTAGGCTCCCAAACAGGTTTTTTTGAAGATCTTCTTGGAACCCACCCCTCCCCAGTCTCTTTCCATCTCCAGAAGATCTTCTAGTTCTTGGGGGAGAGGTAGCTACATGGCTTCATGGTGTTGACAGAGAATGGTCCTAAGCTGCTCGAGGTATGCGCATTCCTCTCAGGCCAGCAATGCAGGTACTAGGTGACTTATGCTCTGAAAAA